CCATAAGCACGAAGCATGCAAAGCTTGCGACCCGGATCTCATCCATCACCGCCCGCTCTCGTCAAGCACCGCTCAGATCTTCTCAAGCACAGAGCAAACGTCCACAAGATGTTCTGAAAGCTCCGCGCAGGAGCGTGATGCGCATGAAAATTTTCAGAACGCTCCGCACGGGAGCGCGATTTTCGTAAAAAACTTCGGGAGCGCGATTTTGTTCAAAATTTTCAGGACGCTCCGCACGGGAGCGCGAGACGCTCTGCACGGGAGCGCGATTTTTTTTCCAAAATTTTCAGGACGCTCCGCCCGGGAGCGCGATTTTTCTCAAAATTTTCAGGACGCTCCGCACGGGAGCGCGATTTTCATCAAAAGAGAACAATCTTGAGCAGATCAGTTTGGTATAGAATTGGGGTAGAAAGCGTTCCTTAAACGATCTAAATTCGAACGACGAATCCGGCGAATCCTATACCAATCCTATCATCAAAGCTTCGTATTATTCCAGAATTTCTAATCTCGAAGTTTGTAGACGTGCCGGATCCCCACGCAAGCCCTCAGAGACCCTGAAGAAACTACAGTTTAGGATGATGCAACAAGTCTTCTCAACCCCAGCAAACGATCCTTTACATCATGTTGTATTTTGCACGGGATACAAGGACTGTATTCAATCCAGGGGCAGAAGACGTGGTGGTAAAATCCCATACTGGATTGAAGCCACAACTCACAGGTTCTTCCCGGAACAATGGGCTCAGCATACTGGTCGAGGGTTACTAGGACCTAATATGATCTACGCTGAGATATCAAGATCCCTCCGTCAGCCAGCAGTAGCGGTGCCTATGCGCGCAGAGCCAGAGCGCGCCCGGCATTAGCAAAAATACCAATCCTATACTAAAACATCCCCGCAGGAACATCACCCTTGATAAGATAAATCGACAAAATTCGAGGACGTCTCGAGCGGGAGCGCGATTTGTAAAAATCACCTTATCAAAAACCTCAGGACGCTCCGCACGGGAGCACGATATTGGTCAAAAGAGAACGATAAATTTCGAAGACGTCTCGAGCGGTAGCGCGATTTTTTTGAAGATCGATTCATCAAAATTTTCAGGACGCTCCGCGCGGGAGCGCGATTTTGGTTGAAAGAGAACGATCTTCAGCGAATCAGTTTCGTATAGAATTGGTATAGAAATCCTTCCTTGAACGATAAAAAATTCGAACAACGAAGCCAACGAATCCTATACCAATTTTATACCGAAATGACCCCCCAAGAACCTCACTCTTGAGAAGATAAATCGACGAAAATTTGAGGATGTCTCGAGCGAGAGCGCGATTTTTGATGATTTAGGTGAACATCAGGGGGTCATTTCGACCCCCACTAGCAAGACTAAAGTAAAGGCAATCTGGCCTCCCAGACACAACATCGTAACATTCGCCGAAATGAGTAAATGAGGACGTCTCGAGCGAGAGCGCAATTTATAAGTTCACATCAACGCGTCCAAAATGTTTGCGCGACGGAAGAGCACGCTGCGGTTGCCGGGCGACGCACTTAATAACCCCTACAATAATTGTAGGGAAAAATCCAATTGTCTCGCGCGGGAGCGCAATTTTATGATCATCAGAATCGGCGATTTTGAGGGTGCTCCGCACGGGAGAGCGCAATTTTGAAGAATCGGGGCGCATCCAATTCGGGAGAAGGTCTCATGGCAAGACTAATCTAAAAGGAGAAGAGGCTCAAATTGACAGATTTTGATGTTGTAAAACGACGAAGTTTTGAGGATGCTCCGCACGGGAGCGCAATGTTTAACATTTAAGGATCAAAAAGGCGCAAAAACGTCCAACTGTCTCGCACGGCAGCTCGATTCTTGAGTAAGCAAAATCATGAATTTTCAGGATGTCCCGCACGGGAGCGCAATTTTTGAAAATCGGGGCGCGTCCAATTCGAGACAAGGTCCCCATGGAGAACGAGTAACTTTCGAAAAGTTACGACGTCATAAAGCGACGATCTTTGAGGATGCTCGGAACGAGAGCGCGAATTTTAAATGATTTAAGGCGCGTCCAAGATGTTTGCGCGACGGAGGAGCACGCAGGGATAGCGGGCGACAGGCATTAAGAATTAGAATAGTTGTTTAGATGGCCCGAGCAATCCAAAGCCGAAGACAGGTCCGCACTTTCAGACAATAACGTTTTTTAATCGAGATACAGTGTTTTTTGATCCGCATTTTTGATGTTGAGCATAATTTTTCTTGGTCGTAAAAGAAATCTTTTTTGATGGTTTCCAGCTTGTCTTAGTAGTCTCAGCACGTACAACCGAGAAAGGTCGGCAGTCGGGTGAGACATGAACTCCATGTTTGTCAGGACTACAACCTTTTTTTTAGTCGTTCTTCGCCCAACCAGGTTGGATGCCAAGCTAAACCCAGACGCACGCATTTACAAGCGAATCACTTCACCAGGCTGTCGTGGAATCAACGATCTGCGGAGCCGTGTTCCTTCTTATGTCGTAGGGACCCCATCGGCTCATATGTGGAGATCGGTTCCTGCTAGTACGAGATGCAGAGGTTGAATGCTTGCACATTCTACACCAACGTGAACCATGACACGGAGGAGATGCATGAACTCACAGAGGCTGTCAGGTGATTGCATAGAGTGAGCTCACAATTTCGTTCATGCTTCACAGAAATGTGCTGCTTGAATCTTCCAGTCGGTTTGAGGCTTCAAGTGGCAGTCTTTAAATATGCCCATAGCATCTAATGCAGGTTGACTGTCTAGGGTCACGTTCATCCTATCCTTAAAAGGGTGATGCAGTATGCCCATGAACAAGGAACCAGCCTGAGGGGATGCCAGACGAGTTCATGTTCCCTCACATGCTCTCATAGTGTTTCATAGGTGAATTTGAGGTTGATGTATCATGATTTCATTTTGTTCCAGCTCATTGCTGACATTCTGTTTGAGTGATGCTGCCCCACTACGCGCGGCTGCACTGCATAATGCTGCATACTGTTTGCAGGCAGCCTACGCTGCCTTGATGAAGCTTCGATCTCTCTTTTGGATCCCGCCTCTACTAGCCCTGAACTTGGGGCGGTTTCTGCAATTTCTACACTGAGTCAAAAGGTCTGGCTTGTGCTGTCCCGAGGCAATTGCCAAGTTTTTTTCTGCGTGCCGGGCTTTGTAGTAACTTTGCAAGGGCTTTGTTCAACAAGACTTAGCATCTCATATTTTGTCAGATCCATCCCTGGCCGCTAGCAGGTGCATTTGCTAGAACACGAGCTGAGGTGGATTCTGTGCTACAACTTCATGACGCTCTGCTCTGTCGGGATATTTGCTGCTCGGCAGATCCGTCTGGAGCTGCATCTGCTTCCCCAGGCGCAAGTCACAACAAAGACATCCAATTTACTGGATCTTTTTCAACATTAACGAGTGGTGCTGAGACCTTCAACTTGCCGATGCTGTGATCCCAGGATGATTATCGTATCATTGTGGAGGGAGAGCCCTATGCAGGCAAGAGTTGTTTTGTCTGTTTATCTGTGACTCCCACTCACATGTTTGACAAAGGCATGAGCAAGCATTTCTATTTTGACCCATGGATGTGGCTGGGTATTGTGTGCGCGACCCATTAACAGAATCAGCACCTGATTGGCAACGCCTGAAGATGGGACCAGCTTCCAAGGATCTACCTTCTAGGATGTTTGTGGATTATGGAGATCTGGACGTCTGTGGGGCAGTTTGTCATTTCGTGGCCTCCACAGTTACCGCTCATGTCAAACAACCGGTGCAAAAAATGCTGCAGAAGATGTCCTAGGTGGTGCTCGGTCATTTTCTATTTCACAGAGAAGGACGATGATGAAAAGGTGACTTGGCCAGATGTGTGTTTGAGAATCTCTGCCACATTATTGCTTGGAAGGTGGCTATACCAGTTGCTGCCTGGAAAGCGCTGTGGATTGCAATCCGGTACCATACAGGCCTGCACTGGACTGTTTGCTCGGAGGGCTAATGTTTTCACTTTTTCGATACGTGGGTCTTTCTGGAGCTTCGCGTTTGGCTTCATGGCTTCCCTTTTTTCCTGCTTCTTGGCTTCCTTTTTGCTACTACATGGCCTGCTATGCCTTCTACAGCCACCGACAATCTGAGCATGCTTCACAGGAGAGCGCCGGTTTTCAGTTTAAATGTGAGCATGCTCCACCTCCACGCAGAGGTGACATTTCAGGCCCTGCTCCTCCATGCGGGAGCGCCATGTGAGGGCGCCAGGGCGGCGTTCGATTGGCCTGATGTGTGTGGACCTGCCGTAACGTGGAGCGGACGGAGCCTTCCATCCTGCAGCATGGAAGAAAACGTGCAAAACGAAAAAAAGGCGGCACATAGTGCGGCAAATGTGGCCGGGTTAATCAAGTCTACAACGCTATTCACTTGAACAGCTTTTGTTATTACCTGCAGTTGTTAAGTTGTTGCCTGTCGCGCTCAATTCTTTTGGTGAGACGTCTTTGAATATTGGCATCCTCATAACTGTATGAGTTATGAGCAGGATGAGTTCGAACAGCATTCGATTGCAGGTGCACCCGTCGCTCAACTTCCCTTGGACAAATCTACCTTCCCAATCACTCTTCCCCACTTTCACCAGCTTGGGCAACACGATCAGAAGCAAATAATGCTGCAGATCAATAATCGAATCCGCCAAACTTCTGCACCCCCTTGTCTGGAAGAGCATGCAAACTCTTCGCTCAAGCGCTGTCCAGGCAGTATTCTGCTCGGTGCAGCTGGGATTTGGCCGTGCACTCGTCCAGAAGTTGCTGAAAGCAAAGTTTCAATCTCATTCGCACGCAGCAGGTTTTTCCGGATGTTCCGAATGGCTGCATGGATTTGGGCGAGGAGCTTTGAAGAAGTGCCTGCAATTCGTTCATGTCAACATAATGATTAGTGTGCCAGGTGTGGGTCTGTGATTAGCTGCACCTGTGCTGAGTCTGAGAGCCTGCCGCACAAAAGCTCCAAATGTGGCAACTTTGCCCCTCTCAGCTGGTTCAACTGCTTCGTTCAGTCCACAACTCAGCCGTGTTTTGCTGCACTTGTCTGTTAAGATCCGAGTTCGTTCAGGACCATTGGCAAATGCTTCGACGCGTGCCTTGGTGACAAAGAGAAGAGAGGCAAACAAGCAGGAAGCTGGTGGATCTGGCATGTTGATCATACGTATTGCTAGCAACTTGGCCTTTGACATGAAGTGCTTTGCTTTTGTGCTTGCAAAACTTGCAAGGCAGGAGGGAGACTCCATCTTCCAGCAGTCGGCCTTGCTGTCATTGACTGACAGTCAATCAGAGTCAATCACACAAACAGAGCTACTGACATGGCAATGAGTCAGTAGCTCTGTTTACTGATTGTTTTGGCAGGTACTCCAAGGATGCCTATCAAGACGTGACGATTCGATCACAGCATTTCTGGCAGGTAAGACGTCTGAAAGTGCTGACCATGTAGTAAATGCAACGATGGAAAGTCATTTGCACCTTGCAAATGTAGCAAAGTGACAACAGCTGGCAGGCCAAGGAGAAGGCTCAAAAGTACATAAATTCTCAGGCGCAGGTCAAGAAGTGAGTCTCCCGGAAAATTGGCGAAGCGTATTGAAGAAGAAACGTTTCTGTCTCAGGTACACAGGCAAATGCCGACCGAGTACCTTCATCGGAGTTGTGGCCATTGCTGTGGCCTCTCACTTGGAGCTGCCTACTGAGCAATGCTTGAGGGAAAGCAACAATTTCTTCTGAGGCTGGCTTCCTGATCTCCTACCTTATCATGGACCACTCTGGTGTGGCCGAGACGCGCCACCTGTGGTCAAGACATCTTTTCGCGACTCTTCAGGTGTCAACGATCCGTCGAAGTCCAATTTCATACAAGACCCTTTGGTCCGGTTCTCATCTCTTGCTGGAGTTTTGAGTAACTCTGAACTGGGAGACTGGTGCGCCCTGCAGATGGTGTCCGCTGTGGCCTTCTATCTCTGTGGGTCCATCGCGTGCCGATTTAAGCTTCCACACGCCTTGCATTCAAGTGAAGAAGAGACTCGGGATTTGCAGGTACGATTTTTGTGCCTTGTATGACCATTTGGCCAGTGTCTCAGCATCATTGCAATCCAAGTCAAATGCGAGCGGGCGAGTATTTCTTGGTTGACACGCGAGACATGATGCAGGGCATGACGCATGCTTGCAGGCTGACTCGCTTCTTTACTGCTTTGCATACAATCGCAAAGTAAACAAGAAGACCATTGACAAGCTGGGAGCCTGATTGAGATAGAGTGTGCCCGCGACATGCGTGACGTTGGGCTGCAGTTCTGTGGCTCTGTGTAAGTCAGGTTTGTGCCAGAAGAGATCCATGAAATAATCGGCAGCGGGCTTGTCATGAAATGCCTTTTCAGCTTCACCGCAAGTGATGGCAGGAGTCCGGAAATGATCTGCTTGATTTTGCATCGAGGCCATGAGGTGATTGAGTCCACAAAGAAACCCTCCTATGGCTACCATGGAAGGGCAAGGCCAGCAGGTGGTAGGATTGATGCTTCTTGACCCTTGTGGCTGGGTCAATGTGTGGAGGCCTGAGATGTTCGTGTCCACCTGGCTCAAACAGGGCCAGCACACCTTTGGGGGCTGGTCCATGGGAGGAAGCGAGCACCAGGCAGGGCTACCTGTCATTCTCGCGCAGTCTTTCACAAGCCCAGGCACCAAAGTTCTTCCTCTTCAATGCTCTCTCTGGTCTTTGCGTTCTCGGTCTGATCTCCTTGTTTCTTTCGTGTCGTTGTCCCATTTTCTCGTTGAATTTCTCTTCACTTAGAGCTTGAAAGTGCTAGAAGTCTATACGCAGCGCTGAACATGCCGCAACTATACAGGCCGGGGAAAAACCCATTGGGAGAAAAACTCTAGCCGCGGTATTGTGAGACTCAATAAAACCTATCCTACAAGCCCTGCACCCTCTTCCCAGCCTACCAGGAACCAGGAAAGAACCCCGCAACCCAACAGCCAGCAACCAACCAACCAACCAGCCAGCCAACCAACCAATGCACTGACGTGGGAAGACAAGGGCGCCACGTGCCTCAGCAGGGGTTAAAGGCACGGGGCACGGGAAGTAGGCGACAGCGACCCGGCAGGGAAAGGTAAACATGGAAAACCCACCCTACCTTTCTGGAAGTGGTCCCGGACAATCCAAGCCTCGAAGGACATGGTCGCAATCTTGACAGGGTGTTCCTTGCGATTCTGGCAGGCAAGCTGTCCCTCAACTTCACCATCTTCACCCCGCATGGCATTAGAATGGAAAAGGAGGATGTCCCTACAGGTGGCATCACTTGCCTTTGGCGCCTTTAGCTGGAGGTCGTGATCAAAAAGTGGAGACATTGGACCGGGCGACGTACCTCTCCACGTTGATCCTGGCGCAAGCTAGCGAGCCCTTAGGGCAAAGTGGGGAGAGCGGCCGTTGCTGCATGCGGCCACTAAGGGTGCCCTTTTCCCAATTGATCCGCCAGGCAGCCGCCTAATAGGTGCCGTTGGCCCTGATGCGGAGCTTATGGAATTTCTGAGGGACGCAAGACTCCGTACCATCCGGATTCGTTGCCTCTCCTATGAAGAAAGTCCGCAAGCTGCGTGTGAGACGCATCCCATGGAGGAGGCCGACGTCAGGGATCTCATAGACACCGTGAGGTACAAGGAGTTCACGCCCAACAAGTTCCAACAGCTGTGGGATACAGTTCAGCAAGAAGTTTGGATTTTTGGCAGACGATGAACCGTTGACAGCAAACATCCGCGGTTGTGGAGGACGTGGTCTCCACGGTCCACACGTCGGTGCGCAAAGTGGTGGTACTGCGCAAACAGGTTATCCTCTTCCTCGGAGCTTCATTTCGGGACAAGCAAGGTTCCATTTTGGCTGTTCGGCCCGCTCCGACGACTTGCAGCGCACAGCCCCGGCGAACCTCAAAGAGACAACCGCTGGAGGCGTGGCAGACGAAGACTTCCTCAGCAGTATAGACCAAGAAGAAGCCCGTCACACTTATCTGCCCCAGGTGCTCCTTCGCAGGCTTGCATTGGTGGACGCCACTCATCGCCTTGTAGCAGAAGGTCATGGCTCTCCGGAACTTCAAGGACATTGACTCCCTGGTCCCGACCATCAGTGGGCATCATCGCCTGCCCTTCCCCTCCCCTGGCCCAAGTCGGTGGGCCCAAGCTTGCTTCGTGAAGGTCATTTGGCATTCCTTCCGCGTCTTCATCCCAGACGTAGCTGTCCAACTGCAGATATGCCCGGACACGAGACAGCACGGCGGTAACTTGCTTACTGTGAGCATGGCGGATGTGTACGCCCCGGGAAAACGTAATGTTGTCTGCTCCATCCGGGAAAAGGTGGCTGTAAGGGAATGAATTCCTGGAGTCAACCTGGAATGAGCACGGATGGTCGAAGAAGACCTATCGCGTTTTGATTGGGATAACATCCCAGTGGGCCCGGCCGCGGGTGTTTAGTGTTGTGTTCGACAGGCGCCGTTTCCCTGAAGTGAAAAGAAGTGGATGGCGCCTGGGCCCCAGCAAGCTGCAGGACCTTCTCACACTCATCCTGTGCTGTCGCTGCTTCAAGACACTAGGGCCCTTTTCGCGACTGGGTTGCATAGGATGAGAAGACACCGTCTAAGGCGCTTGGGCGCTCAGTGGTACAGGCAGAGACTTCAGCAGCGCCCTCAACTTAACTAGTTATTTCAATGCCTCAATGAGCGTTATCGCGCCAGCCAAAGTTTGGGATTTGTGGACCCCCCCTCGCCAGGTAGGTGCCATGAGCCTGACTGGTCTGGGGGGTTTTTGGCGCGATCCGCGCCGACCATGCCACCGAAGACGTGGGCGCCTTCAAAGGCTCCAGTGGCTACCTGGGGTTGGATTTGCCTTTGTGGTTGCGTCAACTAGAAGGTCAAAGCTCAGTGCGGCGAGTGTCGGGAGACGAGGGCAACCCGCTAGGCTGACATCCCGGCCACGCATTGGTCTTGCCTTCAATGTGGCGATGACAATAAGATTGCCGGCCTCGATGCCATGGCTGCCACCGGCCCCGCGCCGTAGATGCAGAGCTTCAGAGGTTCAAAGTGGCAGCCGAGAGTGGAGAGCCCCCACCACACCCTGTGGTGGAAAGGGAAGGATTTGGTTTGCGATCAAGAACCCGCTGAAGCCGCTGGACGAACATGGAGGTGACCTCGCGCTCCAAAACGCTGATCGTTCCTGCGCACTTCCTTGATTGTATTTGGGAAAAGAGACACCCCGCCGTGGGATTTCCCTGGGGGGTAGAGTTCAAGCCTTTCTTGTGGCAGGAGACAGCTCGATTGATGGAGTCGTTTGGTGGCCCAGCGCACCGGCCAGTGGCCGTGTTTATCTCCCCACGCACTTTTGCATGGATCCGTTGTTCTGGAATAGAATGACTCAGAATGACTGATGTCGCCCAAAGACCGCTACGTTTTGAGACTGCTTAGACAAGGACCAACCTCTCGTGAAAGGCTCCTTGGCAACCCCATCTTCGACACTGGTTGTGAGATGTGCTGGTACGAATTGCGGGGCTACATTTCAACTACTTTCAGTGCTCTTTCCCAGATCAACAACAATCCCCGTGCCTTTGACCAGATGCGACCCACGCTCACTGATTGGCGTCACTCCTGGCTTACGGACAAACCATGTTCTTTACGTTGCAATTGTTGGTGTCCTATGGGGAAGAAGATGTGGAGACGTTCTATCCCTTGGCTTTGCCAAGAACAACAACCATCCGGGACGTTCAGTAAATCAGGGAACTTCTGGCGAACGAGATCAAGGAGAACCTAAGATGGTTTGCGTTCCTGAGGGACACGTTTCAGTTCCACATTGCTTCAGCGCAATGCTCCATAGACTTAGGTGGTGGCCTTGCAGTTGAGTGCGTGCGGGCAACGCAGCAGATCTCGGGCTTCGGGACACCCATTAATGATGAGGTCGACCCTTCGCGTGGTGTGTTTTCAAAAATTTCACACGCGTGACTCGACCAACTACATGCGCGCTGGATACAGACATGGACTTGAACAGTGGCCAGATCACATGGATGTTCCATTGAGTTCCCGTCCCAAACAAACCAACTCATAGCCCGCCGCGTAAGAAAGTTCATGATGCCAGAGAGCACGCGCGAAGATGCGCTCAAATACGCGAAAGAGTTCCTCAAGAGAGGAGGGGAGCCCACGCAGGATGCTCAGCCCAAGCTCGAGACGGAGAATGAAACAGAGGTATTCGACTCGATGTGGGATGATACATTCGTTTTGACAGAACCCGTCCCCGATCAAACGTGTCGAATGCCCTCGGCTCCATCAGGCCCAGCAGCGTCCGCAACAGCGTTGACCACTGAGCGTGCGTCGCCCCCCGAAGAGGAGATTGCTTTGGAGTTTGTACCTCTGGATTGCAGCTTGCAGACCTCTGATCCTAAGACTGAAAGCTTTTTTTAGAGTCACCGATTGGGGCTCCGCGCGGAGTTGAATGTGGCAAAGCATGGTTTCGTTGGAGACGCTTGCTATGTCACGGATGTTGATGCAAAGCGCTCCGTAGAGCTGACGTGGAGAGGATACAATGCAACCGCTTGGCTTGTCCACGGTTGGATTGTGTCCACAATCTCTCAATGGCTGCCCTGCTTGCAAGTCCTGAGGTTGAATTGGCAACTTTGGCGCAGAGGTTGCCTGACGGAATGCCTGCAGAGGTAATCGCAGAGCTTGGCGCTGTCCCAGCTGCGCGTGAAATGAGGTGTGAACCAACACATTGGTGGTCACGGACATGCGTTCAGCCAGTTCGAAGAAGAAGAAGCTAGGATACCGCTGTCAGCAGAACGGTTGGTCCAACGTCATCGTAATGGATCCTTATGACAAGCCGGGCATCTATGTTCAGAATGATCCCACGAGATCCGTCATGAGCCTCCTTGGTGATGCTCTCAAGATGATGAAGTCCCCAGCCGGTAAAGGCAAGGACAAACAGCGAGCGAGGACACGGGTGCACGCTGTCCTGACCCTCATGGAAGTAAAGGATATGGTGAGCGACAATGTCCTGGCAGCGCCTGTGTCTGTTGTGTTCACACCAGTGAGGATGCGCAGTGCTTGGGGAGTGGTGGAAGTGGTCCTCGTCTGTTGTCAATGTTGGCAGATTCAGGGATGCTTCGCTTCAGAGCCAGTGCTTGCGAAGTTGCCTGGTTTGACAAGTTTGCGTTCGAAGACCAGGACTACCACGGTCTCTTTCCTGTTGTTGGATCCAGCCGTGATTGCCGGCGTGACCTCGGGGTGGGCATGCAAAGTGGGAGATTCTGCCTGGGGCACCGAACTTTCCAGAGATCGAGTGCTTACAGTAGAAGCCGAGATCAACAGGGCAAAGTCAGCAATGTCCAAAGATTCCAAATTCCTGTTACGTCATGTGTTAGCAACAAGGATCCTCCTCCCGCCACCCTTCGCGCAGGCATTTGGATAAGCTCCGCATCCTTTGCGCAAAGTGCACCAACTGGTGCAAGGTCTTGGGTCTCCCAGCCTTGGAAGCTGATGCCTGGAAAGCTGTAGAGCATGGATATTCCCAGCAACGCAACAACAAATGCATCCATCGCAGTGGGCAGTATTACAATCTCTATTCTCTGGGATTCACCAACAATACCAGCAAACTCGATGAAAGAGCTGCGTGTGAGGAGATATGGGGTCTTGCGCAGGGATTGGTGTCTCGAATTTTGGCGACGAGTGATTTCGACGTGTGGAACTCCACATTGGACGGAAGATTGGTATCGCTTGACTTGGACGTGCGTGAATGGAAGGATATCGAAAATTGCGCCCATGTCAAGGAGAGGTCAGAGGAGCTGGATGAGTTCACGGCTGAGGCCACTGCTCTCAAATGCCGTGGGTATCCAGAAGTTCTGATACCGCAGGACATTTACATGGATGGGATTCTACGCCTGAGGGCATGTATGAAGGTAAGAATAAACGCAACCGCCTCATCCCAGAGAATATTGACCTTGCGGACCAGATGGGGATCATGTTTGGGAAGGATTTCCGACATTTACAGCAAAGGATTCACAAGCGCTATCGATGGTCGAGTTCGGGATCGTAAAACCTATGGGGATGTCCAACAGTGGCTTCAGAATGCCTAAACATTGCTGTACAAGAGTGGACTGAAGCAGATCACTGACGGGGCGAACAGTGGCAACCTGTGCACCCCGAATTGTGGTCACTGCCAGGGATGATTGAAAGAGACAATGATTGATGCCATGCTCTTGATTCCCATCGCAATTTTGGTATGCAATGGACGATCTCTGCCGTTCTGAGGTTTCCCCAACGCATGCTTAGTGCGCTTAGAAAGAAATCGTTTCGCAATTACAGAGGCACGTCCAAGCAAGGCAGGCCTGTAGCTTGAGAAGAAGACTTCAAAGAGAGTTTTTTGGGGCCTTAATGCAAGGAATTCTCTTCAAGTCTCAATAGTTCCCAAGCCCGGGTTCTCTTCCATAAGAGTTGCAAATATTTTCAGTTTTGACAGAAGAAGCTATGATGCTTCAAGTACATGAATACGAGGTCTACGGAGCGTCCAGCCGCATCAGGTCGCGGCCGAGTGCGATTTTCCCGGCCCGGCACTTATGATTCTAATGCTACTTTATCTTTGCATACTTTGCAGTTGAGTTGTGTAAAAATTCGAGCTCTTGCAGTTCTCGTCTCACTCAACAAGTTGATGCTTAACGTTTGGGGTGTCAAAGCATACAAACTTCATCCACAACCCATGTGTGTACAATGCAAGGTATTTGTAGCCACTGTTTCTATGCCCCAATGCTATTGGCTCAAGCTCCTCATTGAAGCTTCAAGGGGCAGAGGGAATTATAGCGATGCCATAGAACATTGGTGGCCGAGTGGATTGAGCACAGTTGTGAGATCCGCTACAAGTGAAAATGTTGTGGAGTACGAGGGTATTGCAAGCTGTGACTCGCAATGTGCATTTAATACCCAGTCACCCTTTTGCAGTCTGCATCCCCCGGGTGTCGGGCGACCAGGGAAATGTTTTCTCGATGCTGAACGGAAAAGCCAATAAGTTCCGCATCGCTGTTATCTTGATGGACTTACTGCTCCTTCTGCACCGAGCAGGGCTACAGTTGGCGCCCTCGCGCTTCAAGTGCAACCTCAACACCCGAGGGGATGAACTGATGCACCCTCAGCTTCAAGGTTTCACATTTGATAGTGATTTACATGTCAGCTTTGTGATTTCCGATTTTGTTTTGACGCAGACCATCGTTACCGCGGATGGATCTGATCTTTCACTGTTTTCTTGCTCCACCCATGGACCCGACAGGGGATGCCCGGTGAATGGGCGTCAGGTGGCGACAGCGTTCCAGCCAAATTTTAGGATTAGATTTTTCCCGCAAACCACTGTGCAAAACAATGTGCTCGCACATGGGTCTGTAAGCCTAGAATTTGTGGAGCGCCATTTACACGTTGACCCTCAGACAAGTCTCTCTCATGTCCCAACAAGCTATGGACACATGCCTCGCAGCGCTGGCCTGGCATCTGTAAACCGGGCGCAGGCTGAGGAGGAGGTGGAGAGGTTCACAAACACCCAAGCGAAGCAACACGGCCAGCCAATACTGCTCGTTGGCACGGCTTTGCTAAGACGCGCCGACAGTGCTTTTATCCTCCGTTTGGCGGCTTGAGGGCCACATTGCCTCTGGGCCGGATGCTGCCCAATTAATTATGCTCCTTCCGAGGATGTTTTGCCAGTGTTGGCTTGATGTTGCCAGATTTACTAGTACTTTGGTGTGTTGTATGGCTTATGCTTACCTCCCCCAGTTTTTCCTTGCGATCCAGCTATTCTGGCTGGAGGAGCGTCCGAGGGAATTTCCGGTTAAAGGTTTGACCGGCCTACTTGCTGGGCAGTTTGCTGCGCAGATTTGAGCTGGGGTTTTGCTGGACTTTTCTGCCTGGGCTAGTGCCATGGCAGTGCAGGGGGCAGCCTTTCGCAACCTCAAATCCAAAACCAATTCTTCAATCTTTTCCCGTGTTTCTATCTGGTGCATATTTGACATGGCATGCGATGGCACGCAGTCGGCCCCACATGCCAGGCATCCAGGAATCACCAGGAAGGCCGGCTGGCAAACTTGTGCCTGGAATCCCTCCGTGGCTAGGTGGCATTACCTGTGACAGGCCACATGCCGCCGCAGCCTGCGCCGCCACAACAGCTGCCGCTGCACTCCTTCCAGTCTCAACCAATGCATCTTGACAGCACATTGCCGTGAGAAATGTTCTTCTTGGATTGTCGTGACATGCTGTATCACTGTTGGCCGCTGTGGCGTGTGCTGGGGAGTTGGCTATGTGCCAAGGCGCATGGGATGGCTCGCTCACGGAAATGCATTTTTCAACAACTTGTCATTTTGTTGCCTTTGTATTCGTGCTTACTCCCTTGATAAGAGCTGCACCTCAAAGGGACAACACATTCAGCCATGAACCTTCTCGTTTTTTACAAATCATGCTAAGGACCACAGGGCACCACATGCCTCACATGCGGTGACCTGATTTGTTGCAGCGATGCCACAGCGCAGAAGCCTCGACAAGCCTGACACTCCGAGTGCCATTTGCAATCCGCCTTCCTCAACTGCAGCGAGGGCTGTAATGTTTAGAACAGCGGGCGTGAAGACAAGTTGCGAGTACCCTGCCGTGTACCTGTACAAAGCTGTGCGGCGCAATTGAGTAGCCTGCGCTGCTGAGACTTGCAAATGCTGATGCACGCGTGAATTTGCAAAAGAATGTTGCGCTCTCATCAATTTCACATTACCACGGAGCCAAGACTGTCAAGACACAATCAGAGGTGCATGGGACATTTGCCACTGCTCAGCAAAGCCACGCCTCTCATTGGCTCGAGATCAATCACTGCAATCATTCTTTACGCTTTGCATTAGCCGTTAGCGCAGCCAAGACCACACAGTGTGAGCTTTGGAGTCGCCTGCGTTTCTGAGGGCCATGGCAGCAGAACTGGCAGCGTCCTCAGGCCTCTGAGATGCACGCTGCTTGCAGTATGTTCGCGGGTCTGGCGCTCACCTCTTCCAATGCAGCGTGCCAACTTGCGCCGCGAACGCCACGCATAGATCTTTGTCTCGGGCTTTGTTTGCACCCAGGTGCTTGGGTGTATCAGGATGGCAGCAAAAGGGAGTGGATTTGCTCATATCATTCCTACAGTGATCCAATAGGTGTTGGGATGTGTCGTTGGGAAGGCCTTGGAGAAATCTTGCACTTGCACATGCTGATTGTGGTAATTTTCCTATTCCTTCATGATACTCGTATGTTTGAGGTTCATCTCCAGCGGATCAGCATAGGCCATAGGCTGCACGATTATGACTGGAACACTTGCACTGGCTTCAACAGTGACCTGGCTTGACCTGGCACAACATAGCAGCATATTAGCAGCATATTAGCAGCATAGGTGGGCTCCCGACAAAAAGAACAGAAAATCCTGCACCGCTGCAAGTGCTTTCGAGTGCAGTTGATGTTCTACTCGTCTGCTGAGATTGCTAGAGCAGCCCGGGCATCATCTACTGACAAGGAGGTTGAGGCGAGGGACGCTTCTGTATTTGCAAGATGATTTCAATTTTCGATTCGGTTCCAAGGCGTGTCTGCAAAATGCCACCTCTATCTTGGATGAGGCCCACACCTCAGTTCATGGATTGGCCCAGGATTGCATCCCAGTCAGCTTTCAGGCCCGAAGCAGACCTGGAGCACTTCCAGCCAATCCGGATTGAAGCAATTGACTAAATGCAAACAGCATATTCACGTTCGCACTCACAACGCTGCGAACCTGATATTGCAGGACTTCATGACGCTGCAAGGCTTTCACTGCTTGACACGTCACATTCTTGCCAACGCCTTAGCTGCAGCTTGAGTCTCCTGCAGCTATGATTTTCGGACTGGCCACACAGTCCAAACAATGAACACCGAATTCTGAGATGCCTGAGGCTCAATTGGACCAGAAGCCTATCCATTCAAGCTACCTCCAGCGAGCAGTGCGCTCTCTGGCTGTTGTCCACGTTGCTGTCCACGTTGCTGTTTCGTTGGCACTCACAACTTCGACAGGAAAACTTTTTTGAGCACGCTCTGAAGCTCAAAAAGTGCTGAGCTGAGATGTGTACTTGCAGAATCTTGCAGACTTCTGAGGCTGTGATTCAGCGTTGCTGCAGGTCGGCTCCTCGTGCGCTTATGGGCAAGGCTTGTGTCATGGCAACCCGCCGTGACTGGAAGAAGGCAGCCGAATGTGATAGGACTTGAGGATAAGCTTGAATGCCATGAAAATGCATTCTCTTGCGGATTTGGTGACGGTGCATTGCATGCATCAATGACTTTTGGAGAAAGCAGCTCAGCGTGAAGCAGCCCGGCCAGGCTCTTGAGTGTTTCAGAAAAGTATTGCATCGAGCGTCTCCACCTGCACCACGAGATGGAGAACAGCTAAAAATGCTGAAAGAGGCATGCAGAAGGTTCCAGTAGTGCATCTTTGGCTTCATGTCCGGGATCTTTAGTCTGTACCAGACAGAGACTTAAACAATAAGTGCATTTGTCGTGCTTTGTGCAGCAAGATGTGATGTACAGATTGCAGGTGCGTTTCGCCCTCGCGACGTGCTTTGCCGGTTCGCACCTCAGTAACTATCCTCAGCTGTGCAGCTTTCGTAGTTGAGCAGGAGCATGTCGTTGGCGGTTTGTTATTCGACCTGTCCGGGGCAAGGTGGGGCCAAGGGGGGCAAGGCTGGTAAGACTTGGTAAGCGTTGACAGCAGTGGCGCATGCTTGCGCCACCGAGGCTTGGGACGCTTCGACAAGGCGAGGAAAGCCCTTCTGAGCGTGGTGGCAGCCTGAAATTTTCCGAGGACTTTGATAAGCCTGTCCCTAACTCGCAGTTTTTCTGAAGTACTCCCATTTTATGAGGTCTGGGCTAAGATTCCCACTTTTGCATGGCAGGGCCTTGAAGAATTTCCGGATGTGCCACAATTACCATGGCGATTGGAGCTCGTTCATTTTCATGTAAAAGCATGCGTGCTCATACGGGAAATTACATTCGGGAGGCTCTTGCAGAACCGGTTTGCATAGTTTCTTCCAATGGGTTGCCCAGTTTTCCACGGCTCAAAATTAACTTCACACTAGTCATCTATCGTTTCAGCTTTACGAAGCCCATAATTAATTATCATGGCCTCAAGCTCACGTTGCCTGGCTCGGCGTTCTGTCTTTCAAGACCTGGGGGCTGCGCGTGGCAGCAGCCGGCTTTCGGCTGGCCAGGTCAGCCATGGCTCGAGGGGTTCCGTTGGCAACCTTCTCTCAGGACATCGGTTTCTGGCCGACGTTTGGCTCCAGGAGCCTCAAGCTCCCCTTCGCAGTCCCTTCGTCATCGAAAACGGGCAGCTGTCGGGCCCATCATTTATCGTTTCGCATCCACCAATCGAATCAGAAGCGTTGGGGTGCCCGCACCAATCCTGCGCATGACTCTGCTTTGATGAAGACTCGGGGGTGCAAAAAGGTCATCATCGCATATCATCGCAACTTAGCTTTGCCAATGGGATGAAATCAGGTCTGGCATTTGCTTCCATGATCTTGAAGAGCGTGCCACTTGCAGATCATTATCCAGCACAGATCGGAGCTAACTGAGGAGCCGCGCAGCGTGCATTGAACTGCCCCTGACCACTCATTTGCTGGCCTCAAGGAGGGAGGAGTAAAGGTAGCAATGCCATTCTCCGCCACCATCGTTCGACCATGGTTCTGTTCTTCCGGCGTTTACCACAATTGATGATTCTTGTAGTCTTTCCAAACTGTCGTTAGGGCGATCAGCGCGATGCAGCACCTGGCATAGTTCAACACGCCGGCTCGTTTAACATGCGGGCCTTTGCGGGTGTGCTGCGGGAATGGGGCAAGCGTGGCAATCGTTTGTGCATAAAAAGGGCGGCAGTGGTGCATGATTGAAGTGTTTCAGTTCGCGACTGCTTTGACGCGAACTGGTTACTGGCTGATTAGGTGGCTGCTGACGCAAACGACGTGGAATCCTTGTGTGCCCTGGCCTACTTGGAGTCCAAGCCGGACCAGGCAGAACTTCTCAAAAAGTGGCTTTCTGACTTTGAGACTTACACAACTGTGTGCAGCTTCAGCAGGGCTCCGAGGGAAAGATCCGTTCCAAAGCTTATATGGCAAGAGCAATGCAGGCCGATCCGCCCCTCGGATGTAATGAGATGTAACGAGTTTTTGTGCATTCCAACTTGCTCTGATGTGTAACCAGCTATTTCTATGCAGAATTGGTGCACTGTGACAGGAGTAAATGATAATTGATAAACGTTGTGCGCCAAATTTGAAGGGACATGAGCTTGGTACAAGTCCAGGAAGCTTAGATGTTGACACCCTGCTACATTGTTACTACATGCTAAAAGCATATGGGTGGTTGTCAAAATTGTGGCCCCTTTTGGGATCCCCTATTATAATACGGCACCTAATATTTAGAGTACCCAAAAAGGGGACCATAATTTTGACAACCACCCATATGTGCTCTGACGCCAATTGCCATAGAGCCACTTTGTTTTAGAACTTCAGCAGTCTGGCTGCATGCATGGCAGCTAAGAACTCATCCTGCAGCTCGCAGCTTGGTGCGGCGAAAGATCTCACGCACAAGTGATGCTGAGACGGAAGTTCGGTTGAATTCAGTTCCATCATGTAAGGTCCTTACCAGGGCTGCCGACCATGCATTTAACATTGGCATGGAGGACCAGCATCATTAGAGACATCTAATGCTCTTAATCTTGCCATGCAGTTTGCCAGGACTATGACGCTGGGGAGGCCTATTGCAGTGTGTACTACATCACCGAAGTTCTTCGTGGGAAAGTGTCTGTAAACGACGGCCAGTTCAAAATCTCCATGCTATCCAAACAGATGCAAGCAGTAGCGCGAGACGGGCTTTTTTTCTGAGAGCAGCATTCCAACATGATCTGGAACAAGTTCCAGGGGCTGGCATATTGAAGAGTTGTCTCGACTCCTAAATATCGGGTCGTTCTCGTGATGCATTGTGGGCACCAGCCTGGCTTCATTTGACAACAAGCAGCTCAAGCAATCAGACTCCAGAAGCGGATGCAGCAGATTGCAACTTTTTGTTTAAAGGATTGGCAAAGGCTGTGTCAGCTCGACTGGAAGCTCAATTGAAGAAGCCTGAACTCCAGCCAGAGCCACAACAAGCAAGCTTTTGGGAAACACCTTACATTGTTGAAACGCAATTCCTTTCCCCTCCCTCCCCCTCCTCTCTGCCTGCGTCTCCCTCTCATTCCCGCTCCTTCCTGTCCCCTCCGCCCCAATAGCTCGTCCCGGCACATGTTTGTTGACCCACACCCGGAAAGACACATTTCTCCGGTCGCTCACGCTCACTTCTGCAGTTGTACTCACCCTCACATTCTGGAAACATAGCTCTGTGTCTATTTGGTGCAGCAGCAAGAATTCTTCAGCAGCGCGGAGCTGACACTAGGTAACCTGCACGGCAGTATAGCAGCCTGTCTGACCTGCGGTGATGCTGCCTGGGCAAAAACCTTGATGAGGACCATCCTCCTGCTTGGCGCCTGTCTGGCCAATTGCTGCAAAGGCCGGGAGTCATGCAGCATGTGCAACGTCTTAGATAATCTTGAATTGAATTGCAACATGTTTGCACTCTTGTTCGATGACAGTTTGCGCTTCGGGTTGAAGGTAAACAGGTGCTGAACAGGTATGCATGTCCGCAAGATTTCAGCATTAGATCAGAGTTTGAGCGTGGTCGTTCTGGACAGGTTTTCAGGAGCATCGTGTTTGGGGGAGGCTGTTTTATCCCACCGCCCCCATCTAAATGCTTTTTGACTGCCCTAGCGTGCTTTAGCAACTTCATGGTCGAGAACATTTTTCGTATCACAGTAACTGATCAGCTGTCCTAAGCGAGTCTGTCAAAAAGCCCCCAACCCCGTGCATGCTGTCCTTGCCGGTATTCTGACGAGAGTCCACCAGATTGAGCTTCAACGTTTATGATGGCTTTTGAATGCGATTCACGGTGGGCTCAAGGCTTCGAGCCCGACTGAATCACACTCGAGCGCATTTACTCTGCATTTTCAACCTCATCGCATGGACAGAGAAGGTTCAGGATAACCTTTCGGCCAGCCCACGGCGGAAAAGCCCGGTTTCAGGCAGCCCGCATCAGGCATCAGCGCAGAGCCCAGTGCCATCAGGGAGCCCCAATCAGCAACCAAACATAACCAAACCAATGGAGGCACCACAATGAGATATGGCTGCAGCAAGCGCATTCGTGGCATCAATCGTAAGTTCTGGCGCGCGTCCGCCTCGGCAGCCGGGCTGGCAAGAAAGCCGAGACGTTGCAAAGCAAGAGGCTACAAAGAAGAAGTCTGCAAGGCCTGAGTGTGGTGGGGGAGGGGCAGATGGGGGGGATGGGTGGATGGGGGGATTGGGGGGAGGGGGGGTGCCCTAGCCTCAGCAGCCAGGATTTCCAAAACAAAAGCCAGAGGGGCAGGATTTTTTGAAGTGGGAATCTTGGGGTGGCAGAGAGGGGAGAGGAGGAGAAGGCTGGATCCTGGTCAGCTTGTTCCAGACGCCTGTCGGCCAGAGGCTGAGGCGAATATACAATGCCTTAAAGCAACTTAGCCGTGTAATCGTATGGCGAACATTTGTCCTACAAATGAAGCTGCCATGGCTGCTATGCTTCAGCTTAAGAGTACTGTCAGTGCAAGCATCATTATGGACATCCGAAGTGCAGAACACGCGAATGCTAGCAATACGAAGAACAAGACAGCAAGAATAGCAGAAAGGACTCAGAAAGGATAATACCTATCATGAAAACAGTGCTGACAGTTGCTAACAGTGCAACCAAAACAACAAGAAGCGCAGCGAGACCGACGAGGTGACTAAGGCCTTGTTCTTGCTTTCGACGCTGGCCGCAGCAAAGAGTTTAGCAATGACGAACTTAAGGCATGGTGACAGTGTGCTTTGCTTTTAGCAAGGCGCGAGGAGAGTTGCGGGTGTGCCGCCCACCCCGTGTGCAAAGCAGGTTCGAACATGAGAGCATGTATGTTCTTTCCACGTTGTGATGCGACTTGTTAAAGTCTGCGTTCTTGCGCAAAAGACCGGGGAACGTTTGCGCAGCAGGACAGGCGTACAAATGAAGAGCAACAAGCCCATCAGGAGTCATACTTATAATGTATGTGCTACAAGGATGGCACCCGAACGAATACCAAACGTAAGATGAGGCTGGAGCATTGTTATTGCTTTCCACGCTGGGTTTGGGGTCTGCCTGCCAAATTGACGCACTACAATGAGTAGGGAAGATGAGTTCAAGGTCTGGCACTTGGCTTTCAAAATATCAGGTGGGTTGGGTGGGGCGCAGCCCCCCAATGTGCATGCCAGAACATGAGAACATTTGTATGTTCCTGCAACGTTATGATAAGACCGGCCGGATTGTGGGTTCTTGAGAATGGCCTGGGAAGTTTTTCCGAGCAGGATAAGAATACAGAATAATACAGACCAACAGCAGCGGGGATAGCAGTGGTCATGAAACTTGTTTCTAGTATTGTTCGCTGTAGCAGTTCCCACCGCAATATGAGGAGACTGAGGCAATTGTGCCTGCCACTGACAGCAGCCGGAGGGTGGGGATGCTAAAGAGACGCAGAACAAAGAGCATAGGATGCGAAAGCAGGTCCGAACTCCGCACATGGGCACGTTTTTTTTTTGGACAAGTCACACTGCAGGCCCGCATTCGGTTTCTTGGCTTGCAATCCATACAAGCAAGAAACACGTAGGCCTTGCGGAATTTTGAAAGCTAGCTCCGTCGAGAACAGGGACATCTTAACAACACCTCCAAGATTCCAACTTGTAAGGCAGGATGCTCAGGAAAAAGAGGAGGTCTCGGAGGCCCAGGTGCGTGGGGGAAAACACAAACGAAAAGGATGCCTTTTGTTTTTCATTTTTTTGCAAGCCTTCATATTGGCCTTCTGAAGCTTGAGGCCACCAAATTGTCGCACCACTTTGGGTCGGCCCCTGCATTGCTTAGATTTGTGCGACAATATTGAGATGTGCTGCGCCTTCAAACTCCAACAACAAATCTTGGGGCCATGCCAATGAAAGTTTATCTTCACCGGAAGTACTAGAATCGCAGGAGAAAGTTCACAGTAGATCGGTGGTTCACGTCATGACTTCATTTGGAAGTATGTGTTTGTGAAATTTTGTGACAGATTCAGTGAACCAGGCAGTATACTTCCTATATGTGATGTTTGAGGTAAGGAGCTGGCATCTCCAGACCGGGCATGCGTTGCTGACATGGAGCTTATAGTGGCCTAACACGGAAGACCACTTGCCTCTGGCATCGAAAACACGTCTCCTGCATTACTCGATCGAAATCTTCAGACACGACTGTGAAACAATGTAGAGATTTTCGTCTGCAGAAGTGAGGTTCACGAAGGCATATCCTACAAACACTATGATTACAGGGATACATATTTATACATGCATCTCTTGTCGGTGTGCTATGCGATCGAAGATATTCTTTTAGTGAAGTCTGCAGTGAGTTATGAGAGAGTTTCTGTCAGCTGGCATGGCAGGAAAGATACTGTACTGTACTTCGCAGGTGTAGCCACAGGAAGATTTGACAGACGGAGATGTCAGTTGACATGTTCGAACATGCACGTGTGTGAGGCACATGTCATTCGGAGAACACTACATGAGCCAATGTCCATGGCGGCCATCACAGATCCAAAGAAAAACGTGTAAGGAATTTCGTCAAACATGGTTGCCAGGGCCAACCTATGAACAAGATCTGAAGAAAGGAGTGCGTGGGGACCCCCTGCACGTTGCCAGAAGTTGCTAGAGCATTTCGTAGGAATGAACATTTTCAAGAAGAGGCCTGCGCTCAGGTTGGTGGGAGGAATCCCTCATTAGGAGAGATTGGTATGGCTGATGGAGAGAGCAGAATTCTGAGAGGAGGACTCCAAGATGGTAGTGTAAGGGAAGTCCACATAACATGTAGGATTGCATGTATGATGAAAATAACCTCACCTGCAACTTTTTGCAGGGCATTTGCACTTCCATAGGGCGGCATTGAAGCTCTCCGTATGAAAAGATGTGAGTCATGTAGGGTGTCTACGAATCTATGAAGGCCACCAATGGAAGCCATATGTTGAAACGTACATTGAGGAGAGTCATCGTCAATGCTTCAAAGCGACAATGACAAGGTCACAGAAATGACCAGCGGAAGGTTGGGCATGTGGGCTTGTGTTTTCATGCTCTCGACTTCAAACAACGCAACAAAACAATTTCACCGGACAAAAGTAGGCCTGCTTGCCGAGGAAGTCTCCCTTTTCTACTTTGTTGAAAGCATGGTGCTTTGTTTTCAAAATTTACAGATCTGGTGTCTGGGATGCGCTGGAAGTTTTTTCAGGCAAATGAACATGGAAGTGGGACATGCAGAGTCTGGATTAGTTAGCAGAGAAGGGGGTCGGGATGCATGGTGGAGGGTAGAAGGTTCGTGCCGACGGAGCACTAGATAGCAGGTGCTATGCTTCCCTGAATTTCTTGAGATGTTTTATGCCTTGTGCACGTTAGGCTTCCGAAGTTGAGGGAACCTTTTCCGCAGCTCTGTACGGAAAGCTTCTGACTCATGCTGGCTTGGGTCCGATGTGCATATGCGTAGCGCACTGTGCAACCTATCCACCGATGTTCCGTTCAAGCTGAGGCGGTGGTCTCGGGCTGGGTGGGTAAACATCTAAGCTGCAACTGCGCGATATCATGCATGAGAGCTTGTTACAACATGCTACAACCGTCCCCACATCCCTCAAGGTGAGCGGCATAATCTTGCCAAAGGTTGCCCGTGAAAGTGTTTTGGATTCTCTCATTCTTGATATGTTGGCTTTGGTTGGGTTTGCTTGGATTGGATGTTGGTTGGGGTGGTTTTTGCGGGACTTCGTGGGAATGCGGCTAAGGTTGGGAGGATCCGGCTGGGCGGCTTGGGTTCCCGGTTCGGTGCGCACGGTGGCCGATTCAGTGTGCTCGGCGACTGATCCGGGGCTGGTGGCCGATTCGCGGTTAGGGCTGCACCCCGCGGGGTACGGTGCCATCTTGGTTTGTCACGCAGTCAGGAGTTGGAGATTTTTTGAGAGGTTGCAGGGACACATGGGGCGTTCCCTGACCTGGATTGTGGATTGTAGTACTCGACAAACCGCAGGCTACTAGGATTTGATTTGCGTGAACCTGTTCTGTTCACAGTCTGTGGGAGGCTCTGAAAAAAAGAGTGGCCTTTGCAGTTACTCCGTCTGGCAGCTTTCATCCAAGGCTATTCGGGGCAGGCTGCGGGAAACAGGGACATACCATCATTCATCCTCCATTCCCTTCAACCGATTTTATAGTCACGTGAAGACTGACCTGCCCATTCCAATGACAACTCAAACGAGCATGTACCACTGGTTTGAAACTTCTTCACATGTGTGCCAGATTGTGCTAGTGTGCTTCACTTCATCCCGTATCTTGTTGGCACGCTTCGGCTCTGTGTGCCTAGGGCTCTACAGAACTGTAACCAAGCTGTCACAGTTGCGGAAGTCAAGGCCTCAGACAGTTTTGCTTGTTGCTAATTACGCCAGCGGCGTTTGAAGCAGAAATTGAGTGTTGAGGTGAATTACCAATGGGGCAGGATGGCACACGTCCGATGCCAATACCGCGAGGCACCTTACAAGCAGGGTTGTTCCCCATACCGTCCATTCGGTGTGTTCAGCCAAACCCCATATCATGCAACCCCCCCCAGCAAGCCGCGGTCAAATGTCTTGTTTAGGCAAGAGACTTGTACAAAAAGTGCATCCAGACTTCCCCTGACCATCTCGCCGCAGTCGATGGCTTACTCATTGATTTTACATGCCTTTGGTGTTTCAATTTTCTTTCGTTGACGTCTGCAGCAGCTAAAATCAGAGGTGTACCTCTACACGCAATGCTTGATTCACGAGCGGTCCTTCTCAACAGCCGTGAGGGTCATCGAGGAGGTGTTGCTTGCTGGCTTGCTGTCTTTCTGGAGGGCTTGCTGCTGGATCAGGCTCCGCCACAGCTGCGCGAAGAACCACAGGCATGGATCAGTCGGTGCGAGGCTTTCTGAAAAGTGAAGCGGCCCAGGTCATGAAATTGTTGGCGACGGGCTACCTGGCCACAGGTGAGCATGATCATCAGGCAGGAGACGTCACACAAAGTGCATGGATGTTGCAGGACAGCGTGCTGCTCGCATGGGACAAAGGGTGAAAGGGAGGGTGTCAACAACAGGGCTGAGTGCAGCGAGACCTGGGAGGTGAAATTGAAGTGCCCAACACGGAATGCTGATCCTGCAGTTGATATTCAGCCCACCTGCTCTGCTTTGACATCGCCAAGTAACTGTTGAGAGTTATCATTGTCCGCTTTGCTGATAGAGGTGTAGCTGCTGCCATCGGCTTCGTGCAGCAGCATAGTTTCGCAAACTAAGCATAGTTTCGAAACTTGAATAGCTTGCCATTTTCATCGAATTGCTGTGTCCAATTTCTTCACCGCGTGCCAAACGCTCCATCAATGGCGAAGGGGGCCGGAGAAGCTAAAATGTTGCTCGCGGGCGCAATGGCCCTTCAACTTACCGGGAGCGCACGTTAATGTGCTTGTCAAGATCACGTGCTTATCATGGGAAGTAGGCATGATAAGCTGTTTCCCTTCCAGCGCAATGCTTTGGCTGACAAGGTATGCAGCCTATGGAACAAAAGTTTGCTTCGAAAAGGTAAGCCGTTCTTACTTCATGTAGCAGGCCATTGGACTTAGAATTCTGCTTGCAGAACCTTTGTCACATCCTCTGTGCAAGTAAACAGTCCGCCGCTACAGCTCCTATGTTTGGACGCTGCTGGCACTGTGGTTGGCCTGCATGATCCGAAGATGGCACAAGGACAGGCAAAGTCGCGCTCTGGAGTGTATCGTTTGAAAGATGTGACAGCGGGTTGTGGTGCTGTTTCGTATGTGTCGTCGTTTTGCCGCCATGTGTCTGCGTATGTAGGTCCAGGTATGGATGATGCTGCTGTGAAGGCTGCTGAGAAGCATTGCATTGATGGTTCTTGCATAGCTTGGCTTGGTTGAGGCGGAATGCAGCATCTTCAGGCAGAATGAGCATCTGCCTTGAGGCACCAGGACTATTGCCTGCGGTGGGTACTCGCGTTGTGTTCACCTTGGCTGGCCAGACGTTGGAAGGAAAGGTTACCAACCCAGAACAGGAAGCAAGGTGCATAAATTCTTCGTAAAGGTGACATGATAACTCTCTGAGGTTGGCTTTGCTGGCGACACGGAGTTTGCTCCCGGGAACTGGGTTGGAGTCATTCTTGATGGCCCCTACGGCAAAAATGATGGCTCCGTAAAGGACGCTCCCTGATTTTCATTATCATCATCCGTCATCTCACTCAGCCCGCGGTTGTAGGACAAGCAGTACTTCAATTGCCCACCTCAACATGGTCTTTTTGTTCGACCTCAGAACATTGTCCAGGCGGATCATGGCAGGTATTCTGTCAGTTTGTTGCCTCGGGAATGAAGCACCCATGGAAGGTTCTAGCGCATGGGGCTTCAAATAGAATTGAGCTCCGCTAAGCTGCGTCCAGTACATCGATTCATTTGTGCCATTCAATGCAGGCAGCAGATGCAAACGGAAAGATCCTACTTCGGAGGAAGAGTATGGCCTCAGGATCGGGTCCGAAAGGTTAGAAGTGAAGACAACAAGTTTGCATGGAGTCAAGCTGGCCGGAGGCAAACCTGTATCAGGTCACGCTCCTTGGATGGTACGGCCAGATATGGCCAGATAGTGCTCAATTGTGCTCCAGTGGCTTCGCAATTGATAAGGAAGCCAAGCGGGAAAGTGTGACTGGATCCTCCAGTCCCAAGCGAAGCTCTTTGACTTCGTCGGGTTCACACGCATCTTTGCAGGCCAGCAGTACTCAGACATGCTCGGACGTCCGACACCACATGCCACCAAAGTCTAGTTGAATGGGGGCATGTGCCTCCTGCCTGGTGAGGCTGACCTTGCAAAACGATTCTCAACGCACACATTGAAATTTGATGGCTAACGCGAGACCGCCTCGGCAAGGTAGTCGAGCCCCCCGACCCTCCCCCTCGCACCCCACCCCTCCTCCCGCCCACCCAATGAATCGCGCCGCCGGGACAAGGTACGGATTGGTGAAACTACTCCTAGTCTCCGGCTGCCGGATCTAAACGACCCAGGCTTCCGGTCTCGGCGGATTTTCACCTAGCAAGTGTAGGACAGAAGGGTTGAGCGGTTCACTGCCTCCATAGGAGCATTGCCAGGGTCGCAAGCGTCTTGATGTTTGCAAGCACGTTCGTCATGCACAACGCAAATTGGGCAGCTCTCAGACGCCTGAAGCAAGTAATGGTGTCGATTGTCAGGATGAGCTATCTGAGATGCAGAATCAGCGTGCTGCCCAAGATCGGCGCGTGTCACAGATGACCTTTGATCAATAGTCATAGCATTTTCTGTTTCATGAACGTTGAACCCAGTTTCTTGCAGCTACTGATTGCATTGAACATGAGGACATCTGAGTTGGAAGCGGCGCGGCGAGCGTCCACGACAGCGCTCGATCAGGTCCGCCAGCTCACGCAGGCCATGCAAAGCGGTCGAGATGAGTGCAAGAACAGCCATGTCCTTAATGTCTTGAGCTTTCAGCGTGGTGCTCACTGCTTGAGTGCCTTCGGACAATGTATAGAATAAGGCCTGCAACAGGCTCAGTTGGCGTCCGAAAATGCTGCCAGGCACGGGAGAGAACGTGGATCATGAACTGCAATTGCAGCTTTGCTTGAGAAGGCAGTGCTCCGAGATGTCCGACAAGCTTGCAAAGGCTGAAGAACTAACTGTTCAGGCGAAGCAAACCTCTGAGTCTTGGCTGACAAGTGTGCAGTATCATACAGGGGATGTGCCAGAAGTAGCATTCATCATGGCTTTGTCAAGAACTGCATTGCTGGTTATCTAGCTTCCTGGCGCTCGGCACGGCGATGCAGGCCCTAATGCAGGCCCTTTGGATCACGTTCCTGCGTCCACGATCCAATGACTTTCGGAAAACCCCTGCCCGCGCGAACAAAGCTTAGAGTTCTCAGGGTTTTGTGCAGCCGAGATAGCCCAAGTTAACGGCCAGTCCGAGGCCAATCGGAGAGCGAAGAGGGGAAAGTCGAGCGGTTCAAGATCCCTGGCGGACCACATAGTGGTGGGGAGGCGTGGATGAGGCTCGGAGAGCAGGTTGAGGAAAGCAAAACAAAAGAAGAAGGAAAAAACAGCTCCAAGAGGAAGGGTCGAGCAGCAGGTCCTCTTCAGAGAAGGCCGGGAAGGCGGAAAAAAGGCCTCGCGCGTTCACAGAGGACCTGCTGGCCCACGCGCGAGCCATGCTCTCGGAAAGAGAAGAGGGCCCTGGCCGTGAAAGTGGCAATGATGGACGTGGGAACTTGGCCAAGGTGGACAGGCTGCTGGCTTCTCAGCGACACGCGCCTTCCTGGGATGGAGGCTGGTCGAGCAGGTCAAGCAAGAGGAAGCACAATTGGCGATGCTTGGTCCACAGTTGGAAGAGAAAAGGGAAAGGAAAAGGCAAGAAGGGAAATCCTGGTGGAAGAAAGCTGAGCAGTAAACAAAAAAAGGAGAAGGAGAACGGCGGCTGGCTTGACGGGGTAGAGTCGTTCGTGGAGTTCGCTGTTCGGTTTGCGCCGGGGTCTTCTTCATGACGCATTCTACGCTTTTGGTTGAGTTTTTGTTCTTTGCTTGAGGGGACTCGCAATCCGCAGAGGCATCGCCGAAACACCGACCGGTCTTGCCCTGCAATTACCGCCCCGTTGTAAAGTCCGCTCAGAGGCATGGCCTGGGGTTTGGTTGTTTTTGACACCGAGCTTGCGCACGACGCTTGGTACTGTTGTGTGGCCTTTGCGATGCATTAGCTTGCTGGATTTACTGACTTAGCGAAGTCGCGGTGGCAGCAGGGCTGTCACTAAGGTAGAAGCGTTGCTAAGAAGAGAAGGCCTGAGACTATTTGACTAGGAGAATGCCAGATTGGTATCGATCATGGGGAAGGCGTGCCGGTCTTACGTGCTTGTTTGGGTTCCCATGCCCTTGGTCTTGCCTGACTTCAACTTCAACTCGTCCGGACGTGAGCTTGGTATTCCTTCCGATGATCGCTTCGCGATTGTTTGTTGCCCCTTGCCTGTGGGGTGGAAATCAGCGGTTGGAATCATGCAATGTCTCAGTTGGAGAGTGACGTCCACAAAGGACAGGATGGTTCCAGCTTGATTGGCTGATTGTTGGCGTAAAGTAGGCACGCGTGGCCCCTGGCAAGTTTACTTGGGCAACCCCCGAAAGGATCAGGAGGCTGGCCTCCTTGAAGCCAACTCTCTGCGCTGTTGATCAGCAAGTCGAGTCAGCGGGTGTTGTTCATGAGTCATGAGCTGGGACATCTGTTTGGACATCTGTTTCAATCTTGCTGTTGGTCTCGGGGCCCAGCCGAAGGAGGACCCAAGTCCTTGGATGCGCCTTTGCGGCGCAGTTGCGTGCGACCTTACCAAGCCCATGCGACCTGAAGTGGTGGCAACAGATGCTTTAAGCATGGGGTGGCAGTCTGTATCTCGAAAGGCTCCAACGCTACGCTGCAATGCTCCCTTCTGCCAGTGTGCCTGTCGTTGGCGGTATCTTGATTTTGTCCTTGTTCATGGGACTGGAGGTCCCTTCTGTGCATGTGACTTGCCTGGAGTTTGGCTGTTGGGTGTGTTTGGTGTGGAGTTCCAAAAGCCTGCAAATAGGTGCGCCGGCGCTTGCGGTTGACGATGTGAATGATGTGGATCAAGACGTGGTCAGTGGGTGGTACCAGGCCTGATCCGCCGCCGTGCTGCCGTGCTCTAGGCCTCCTCATTGGGGGGAGCGGAAGAGGTTGAAGAGACTCAATGGATTCAGCCAGGCTGGGCGTGGCTCAACCACTCCTTTCCCTTGCCTATTTTCACGAAATCGACTGCGAGGTCTGCTCCTTCTCCCGATCTTTGTTTCAGCTGGGGAACCGCTGGGAAGATAGCAAAAGGATAAGGAACCGACAAGCGTCGCTCAACCCTTTTGCGCAGTTATCTTAGGATCGCTTTTAAATGCGATTCTCACTCGAGTGAAGGAGCTTGAGACCAACCCAAGCCTGAAGGAG